AGATGATTCTAATTTTCCTCTGGAAAATGCAGCCTCTAAGTGGTCTAGAGGTCTTACTATGCTCTCCCAACACCTTTCTTAGACAGCCTTTGGTCTTGATTGAAACAGATTTCACTCTCTCTACCTTGTAATCTACAATGTACATCTATACCTGCTTGATATACATTACTCCTCTCGAATTCTGATGTATTTCTTTGGAATATGTTTCACCCATGCATATCTTCATCCCCAGCACTAGTTGCATTCCGTTTGCAGAACACCTGCATATTTATCTCTGGTATGAAACATTGACATTCTTGATGATGATTGTGGTAAGCACAATATAATGTGTCCTGAAGGATGTCTACATCCTAATCCACAGAACCTCTTACCTCACATAGCAAAAGAGACTTCATAGATGTGATTAAATTAAAGATCTTGAAAAGGAGAGATTACCCTGGATAACATGTGTGGGTCCCATCTATTCCCCTGGTTCCTTAAAAATGGAAAGTTTTTCCGACCTGTGGTCAGAGAAGGCTGTGATCTGCCTCCCCCTTGCCTTGTTGCTTTTTGATTTCCTACAGCTCTGCTATCTTCCAAAATCATAACATTGGACTGATATCACCAAATCTTTTGACTTTAAATTAAATAAGCAGACTATGAATTCTTCTGAAAGTGCCATTAATATTCACACAAGTTAACAACTGGTGGCTTTAATAAACCCCACAGGATAGTCCCATGTGTCTTATACACACCCTCCAGGAAGACAACAAATCTCCTCACCAGCCACATCAGTTCTACAAGTGGCTATTTCCACTCTCCCAAACTGAAAAGTCACAAATATTCTTTATGTCCAGTTTCTTTGGTGCTGGTAACAACTATTTACTTATCTCCAATACATGTTAACCCTTCCTATTTTATATAAAGTATGGAATGCTGCTTCCTATTTAGAAGGTTCCGTTTTATTCTCTGGAAACTGGCCATTGCCTCTTCTCTGATTTCAAAAAGGCATTTTAAACTTTTTCTTTTTTCTTTCTTTCCAATGTCTCATTCTTCTATTGGGCAACCTCAACACTAATTTTAATTCTGCCAGAGATCCTTGAAATCTTATTATTTCTGTTTTCTTTCCTATTTGTTGTGTGCTGTCTAAAGACCATTCATTCTAGTGGTTTAGAAGTGTTCCACCTTTTAATTCAGAGACTTGCCTACATTTGCAAAGTACATAATTGGTGGCTTCTGAAGCAGAAAGTTTGCTGACGAGCCTGGAGTTTTTAAAAGTCCCCCAGGTGAAATCTCATAATTGCTTTGGGGTCAGCTTTGCTTCACTCTTGAATCAGTCCTGTCTCTAACCAAGGAGCTTTTCAGAAGCCCCCAGGTCCACAGTGTGGTTCCTCAATAGTGGCTGAGCTTGCTGCAAGTTCTGCACTAACATTGCACAAAAGCTTTAGAACATGGATTCTTGCCTGGTTCTGTGGCATGTCAACATGTGCTTGGAAGTAGTAATAAAAGCTGAGTGCTTGCTATGTACTATGAAGTCCACATTCATTATTTTATTTGAGTCTTCACAATTATTATATGTGTTAGGTCATTTTATTACCCCATTTTAGATGAAACACCAGTTACGGAATCCCTTTTTCAAATCTTCTGTTCCCAAACCCTTAGGTCCTTTTGGACCACACTTCCACATGGTTCCTTTTGACAATCCTCTGGGAGAACTGGAACCTTGGCCTGGATCCCTTGGACTTTTCCTGGTATCTCCTACTGCCTCCCTGGCAGTGCCTCCCTAAATGCCTGCTTACTCTCAGCTCATCACCGCATCACTACTGTTAGCCCTTCTCTACCACTGGTGTTCTGCTTGGCATTGATTTCGTGTTGCCAGGTTAATAGCTCTGCTACTAATACTGTGGCCAATCCAAGGATGGGTTCAACTCAGGGTAAGCAGAAGTTGGGTGGGCAGTGAGAGAGGGGAAAGGGGATGCCCTCAAGGGGCATTTTTGAGTGCATTCATGTGTGTGAGGACAGGAGTGAAATGAAAAAATATCCATCAACCTCCCAGCACCGACTAATCAGAATGTACCTCAACTGTAATCGTGGAGCATGCTACTGTGACACGTGTTACTCCATTATTGCTGATCCTTGGCGACAGCCTAAGAGATGCCAGGGGAAGGCACTTTAGGGTCTTGGTGAAGTAGCCATTGACTAACTGACAGAAGAATTTCTATATTTTAACATAGAATACCAGCCCTATGTGGGTGGGTCTAAGAGAAGGAAGATTTCAGAGTGAGAAAAAACTCGTATGTTCTCAAAGGTGTGTTTGGATGATGTTAAATTTATATATCAAATCTAATTTCAACCCCCCCATTCTTTTCTTTACTTAGTAGCTAGAATAATCTTTTTAAAAAACAAATCTGTTCCTTTCATTTCTCTGCTTAAAACCATATGATAGATCTCATATCTTCTCCATATGATGATTCCCATTTTCCTCCCTGACAACATAAAACGTCTTACTTGGAATTCATGAAACCACATAATATAGTCCCTGGATGCTGTGTAACCTCTTTCCTTACTCATAACCCATGTGCATGCTCACACAGACACACACACACACACACTTCTGGAACACAGTGTGTTAACACAATCATCTTTACCCGAGATTCCTATCCTGAAAAGCTCCGATGATCCTTCAGTACTTAACTACATTCACTTCTCTGGAAAGACTTACTTCCCATGTTGGACTTCACTAATAAATAACATGTACATGCCTATTACTGAGTTCTGATTACCTTCTATCATAATTGTTGGGCCTCTCACTCCGGATATGAACTCCACATCCACATGTTCACAGGACCTGTCTCTTTTCATCCTTCTGTGCCCTACCATTAACACAGTGCCTAAGTCATGGTGGGTATTCAATAGATACTCAAAAGAATAATCTCATTTCCTTTCATCATCTCAATGATCCACATAACAAGTATGTGAGGTTCTAGAACTGAGGCACAGAATGTTTTACAATTTGTAAGTTGACCTGGTAGGGTCAGGCTTAAACTCAGCCTTTTGTTTCCAGAAGGGAAAAAGTGGTGACAACACTATGTCTTTTATAATACTCCAATAATTAATATAGAAAAATTGGGTTAGGTCCTTTTTGAGATGCATTTCCCAATAGCAGGATTGATTTATTTTCCTCTCCCAAGTCTTACCCTGAGTACACTCCAGCAACCCATTCTTTAGGTCCTGCTTCCTCAGGAACTTTACATGAGATATTCTCTTTGAGAAGTGTGTCTTAATTATAAAGTCTGCTTATTCTTTATACCTCGAGTCTTGGTGCTGGTTTTGATTTTGCTCTAGGCCTTGATGTCTAGCTGTGCCATAATCAATAGCTTCCCTCTGAGCCCTGACCCTTCACGTGGTTGCTGAGATCCACCAACTTTCCCAGACACGAAGGACTAGTATTTTCTGGGAAACAACAGCACGCAAGACTTTGAAACCATGGCTTTATCAAGAGCTTATGTGCAGGTGTTCAGCCTGACTTCTGACTATTTGACTGTCTTTCAATGTTGTTCTACAGCCTGGCTGAAGACCTCAGTCCCCAGTTCCTGGATCCCATCTTAACCTTGGCCTGCTCAATACCAAAATTTCAACTTATTGCCAGAGTTCATTGCCGCACCTGGCATTTCACTTTGGAATTACATCACTTAGAAGTGTGGCTGCCAGGTAACTAGGTATTCTATAATTAGCAGAACATTCTATGATTTTCTATAAAAATTGGATCTAAATAGGTATTATTATAGAATTCCTCATTTAGAATTTATTTTCTAGAATATAAAAGTTGCTATTGCTACTGTATTATATAAATAATATATAGTTTTCTATAGAAGTGGCTTCACATGATTCCTGCATGCTGACATTTGTTCCAAGTGAAAAGTAAGCAAAAATAACTCTAGGGCTGTGTTGTCCAATGTGGTAGACACATGCGGCTTTAAGCCTTACAATATGGCCAGCCCTAATTGACTTGTTCTCCAATGTGCATCTGATTTCAAAGGCAATATAAAAATACGGAAAATATAGCTTTCATAATTTTGAAATTAGTTATATGTTGAAATAAGAGTATCTTATATATTTTGTTCTAAATATAATTTTTATAAAAATTAATTTCTCCTATTTCTTTTTACTTTTTTAATGTGGAAAACAAAAAGATCTCAAATTACATATGTGGCTTGCATGATTTTCTATCGGACCACACTGCTACACAGGATATGCCTTGTAGCTCTTTAATGTGAGCAAACTACCTACGTATAGATGAAATGGAGTTAGTTCAGAATTCAAAAGCAGGAAAGGTTATACATGGCAGGAGGAACCTCTGCCTTGATTTTAAAATTCATGTTCCTTGTACACACTGACATGCCACCTGCCTTGACAAGCTTTGAAGACCTGGTAATCTCACGAGAAATGAGGCTAAACCAAATGGCATTTGTCCACAGCTCCCCAGATAATGCCTAACCTCAGAGGTTTAAAATAAATATCGATTTTTGTCATTTATTTTACCCCACGTTTAAATATTCCTTAGATTTATTACCTTTAGGTTTTTGGTTAAGATTCAGTGATGGGTATGGTAATAAGTTATGCAGATATCATTTAATTTATGAACTCTGGAGCTCCAGGGTAGCTTTCAGTTCAAGAAATATATTAACCACATGCATATCACCCTTCATTCTGCGGTGAGGATTTCCAAGCTGGGTCCCTATGGTGCCACTTAATTTATGGTCTGGCCAGGTATGTGGATCTCCATACAATATTTCAATATAAGTTGCTCCAGCTAACTGAGGGGACGAAGACGGGCTTCAAAACACTAGTTGGACAGCTGATGGATTGCTCTCTCATACATTGGCCGCAGCATTAAGTAGCTTTTAAAGCTTGTCAGCGGTTTGGATCTTTTTCTGTTCTGAGAAGCTGCGCACACCGGCCTAGCCAAGCACAATCAGCCATGCTGCAGCAGGCAGAGGGCAGCTCCCAGAGTTACTTACGTTGACAGCCGTAGTGCCAGGAATTTCCCGGCAGACACTCATCACACTTAGGCCCTGTTGTTCCAGTCTTACACTCACAAAATCCTGAGCCATTACAACGATCATGGATTGAGCCCAAAGGGTTACAATAACACTCTGTAGAAACAAGACAACACACAGGCTGGAGACAAGTCTGCATGGCTTATAGGTTATCAACACAGGAGTGTCACTTAAATACATCACTTACTTAAAGAAAGATGTCCATTAATGAAATGCTTTGGCAAGTATGGCTATTTCAGGGCCATTTATTTATTTGCTTAGCCTTCCATGATATCATTTTTATGGTATGGGAGGAAATCAACTGAAAACTTCCACGAAAATAAGACATGCTTTTCACTGATAACAGATCATGATGGAGATTCCATTTGTTAGGGTATTTTTAGATGGTTTAATGAATACCATGAGAAGTTTGTATATCAAGGATAAATCAATATGCCATCAGTGTAAAATGCATTTTAAATTATTCAAATGGGCTTAGCCATTGCACTCAATACTTGAGAACTGCTGAACATTTTAAAACTACAATATGAATGCACTTTGCTCATTCAAAGGTCGTTTTACTTTATGATTTGGGATACTGCTTTAACTTATTCATGTATATACCATTTTGTGATGAGCCTTTAGATGTTGTATTTGCTAGGCATATTAATGCAGCTTTTATGCAGCCTAGATTAACAGTCATGAAAGAAAAATAAACTTTGTAATCTTGAATAAATTTCAACATAGTTATAATTTAAGATGTACATTTTTCTTGATAATGTCTGCTGGCAGGACAATATGGCTTTGCACAATAAAAGGTAAACAGAGTGTTTTCTTGATTCCTCACACATTCTTATATAGGATATTTTTACTTCTGAAGCTCTATTTTGCTTAAAACTTGAATGAGCAATGAATATTGTTTAGGCTTCTTCTATTAGTTGGAAAGGTAGTGGAGGTAGCTTGCAGCTTTTGGGTACTGTGGGCCAAAGTTCTGTTCCTCATTACTCTTTTAATAATTTTGCGGAAGTTATTGTATCTCTCAGTTTCCATTATTTAAAAATGCATATATTAAGTAGTTCCCTTACTAAAAACCAAACAAAACTATGCCATCCAACTAACCAAGAGGAGTTTTGAAAACTTAGTTTAATATAATAAAATTGAGCATCTTAGATTTGCTATGGGGGTTCAGGGTTTAACATTATAGTTGGATCCAGGAGTTTGACTCTAAATTTGTGTCTCAGAGACTGATTAGATAATTTCTTCAAACAAATGTGGAGTACCTTAGAAGTATGATTTATTTTATGCTATTAAGTCAGGTTTTGAGTTCCGCATTCTTATAAAATAAACATTTATATGATGAATAGTTACATATGCAGGTAAAAATAAAACTTAATAAATTCTAAAGTGCTCCCTTCTTGCCTGGCTTAGTTTGTACTTAACAACTAGGGTTTCATTTTAAATTAACATTTCCTATTTTAATATGTGTGTATATATGGAACCTGATTAAAAATATTTTAAAATAGTAATTTTGTGAAAGCTTTTAATGTTTGTCTGTACATAGGCACACTATAAATTTGTACCTATACCAAAACTGTAATTTTTTTAACTGTTTAAAGTGAATAAGTTGACAATGAATCACCAGCATATTGTAAGCAGAGTTACAGCTGGCCAACGTGAATTCACACGCTTCTCCAGTCAATGAGCCCATGACCATTAATTAATATAAGGTTTTAGAGGCCAAAAAAAAATGTAAACAAAATTAAACAAAACAGTAGAATAGTTAACCATAATATATCCCAGCCATTGTCATAGAAAATGGTAGTTACGTGTAATGTTACGCAGTCACGAAAATAAAGGACAAGAGGAGTGTGGCCTTCCCTTCACCTTATATAACAAATAATTCCATTTTTAAAAAATATCATTTATGGAATCATGGTCAGTGGTGGATGTTGGGGTAATGGGAAGATCCTTGGAAGATAATATTTTATTCCATGAAGTTAGGAAGAACATGCAGGACTGTTAGATTACAAAGCAACATAAAATACTTTGGGGGGCTTGATTTAAAAGTTATACTAGAATTGATTTATAGGTATTAAATGTGTCTTATGTTTGCTTTATTCTATTTAAGGTACCTCTGATTACCCAATCACAGGTTTCAAGGGGAATTAAAAATAATACACCATAATTTTGAGAAATGCTTAGCAGTAGCTGCTGAACTCTGTTTCATTCTGATGCAAAGCTTGTTAGCAGGATTATTAACAGTGATTACTGAAGGTCACAAACCACAAACCAAGGTCAGATCCTCTGGCTTCCTGCCTAACGCTCAAATTTACATGAAACAGAAGCATGCATGGATGCCATCTTCATGTAGTTGCTGCATCATCACAGAGTAATTACATGTATCTTTGGAGACATGGCTGTGTTTGGAATTTGTATGAAAAATGGGCAAATTCATCAGTAATCACAAAGCAGCAATCGCTGTGGCAACATGAAAGAGCCAGCTGCATTTTGTATTTGCCATAATATAAAATGATGCAAGTATTTTCAAACATCTATTTCATCACAGAGCCTCCATTTTGTTAAAGAAATGAGTGGTTCCTTTACAGTCAGGGTGGTGAATTTTATTGTCAATTGTTAAAAAATTGGCAGTGTTTTTTTCTTTTATTTTTAATGTAGACAAGACTTAGATGAAGTTCAAAAGTCTCTAATTTTAGTGCCTTATTCTGTGAAGTGAATATCCCTTCATTTTCATTAGTGCTTTCTATGCAAAATGGTATTACAATTAACTTTCAATTACTTGTGATGTATCCTTTTGAATTTAATACTCAGTTCTGCCTCAAGCCGTTTAGGAAGCTTCAATGTGGAAAATAGTGGATAGGTTCATGCTGTCTTATATAGCAAACCTTAGCAATGGAGCCACAGCTTCCAATGGTCCTGAGAGGCCAAACTCCAGCCTTAGCCTTGTGCACAGGCCGGCCCAATATCACTGCCCTCAGCACCTTAAGCAGGGTAAGTGAAATCTCCAGCTTTTAAGGAAATTGTTATTAATTCACTGTATGCATGTAAGCACTACAGATAAAAGACCGTACTACCTATCAGCTAGCCAAATTTTTCAATTCATTTTTTAAAAACACTTTTCTCCTTTAGGAAAAGGGCAATAATTTAAGAAATTATGGTAGGTGAGGGAAAAATGTAGCTAATTTTACTTTTTATCTTATATTATTTTTTTGAGATGGAGTCTCACTCTGTAGCCCAGGCTGGAGTGGAGTGGCAATATTCTCAGCTCACTGCAACCTCTGCCTCTTGGGCTCAAGTGAGTCTCCTGCCTCAGCCTTCTGAGTAGCTGGGATTACAGGCATAGGCCACCACCCTTGGCTTTTTATTTTTTTTTTTTTTCCGTAAAAACAAGGTTTCACCATGTTGGCCAGGCTGGTCTTGAACTCTTGATCTTAAGTGATCCATGCACCTGGGCCTTCTAAAGTGCTGGGATTACAGGCATGAGCCACCACACCTGGCCTAATGTAGCTGACTTTAATAGTACCTAAGAATGCACCTCTTTGTGCTTACTAAGTACTTTACATGATTTCAAGTATAAAATACTAAGTAAAAACAGGATTACCTCAATAAATTGGAATTTTCCAAAAGTTTATAATTTTAATTAGTAAATTTTCTAGAAAGGGAGAAGACAACTCTTCTTGATTTTTAAAAGTAAAAATAAATACAAAATTGTTATTGTTTTTCATATTTCTTCTGTAGTTTATGTGATTTAAAGGACAGATGTTGAATAGACTGTTTTCTAGTCTGTGGATAATCAAATATGGATTTACAACTGAACTATACCTTTTAAAACTGGATAGAAAGAAGCAGATTTGGAGTTCATAGTTTACTTTGGAACTGGAAGAAAGGGCAAATTTCAGAATAATAGAATACTCTGAATAAAACATATTGTGATATTGTTAAGTTACCTGATAGGAGAAATTTTATGGAATAAAATCTTTCATTTTAAGGCCTTTTTAAGATTGATTTAAAATAATATTAAATATTATAAAACATTTTAATCTTATATATTTTGTAAAAATAATTAGGTTTTTCCCCTGTATTCCTATTTATTTTAGCTTTTCTGTTGTTTACCTATCTATAGCATGACATTTATATATTTTTACAAATGACATTCAGTAAAATGTACTCTGCAATCAAAATTCAGACAACTACTCGTCTTTTGGGTTTCATGAATATCCTCAAATCTTTGTAACTCAAGTGTTATGAAGACAATCGAACTTTTGTTCATAAAGCCAGAGTGGAATTGCTGCTGTCATCCAAAAGGCATACCATGAGTAAAAGTCTGACGAGCTTAGCTTTGCTAATTGTGTCAGTGGTTGAGAGAAAGTGTTTAAGCTTTGAGGTCTAAAACCCTTTGCTGTAAGATTGGGGTCAATCTGCCTTGCTTTCTCAAGGACAAGATAGGGGAAATAATCAGTGTAATACTTACCTTACTGTTTTGTTAACGAGGATGAAATAAACACTAAACAAGACATCTGCAAGCCAGTTCACAGTTGACCAAGTGTTTTCTATGCATTGCATCTGGTCCTCATCTGATTTAGAAGGCTCAAATGACTTACCTATGATACACAGCTATGAGATAGCAAACTGAAATTTGAGCCTAGCTTTCTGGCCTCTAAGTCCAGTACTTTCTCTCCTAATTGACAAACAATAAATACAAAGATGCTTTGAAAAATAGAAAGTACTGTAGACATAAACAGTATTATATATACTTGGCCCAATTTAATTAAAAAACAGCTGTACAGCTATATTTTGTGACACTTGGATCTTGACAATCCAATCAGAGGACAATGATCCCAGAAATACGAATTGGATTTCTTTTCTTGATAAAAAGATTGCTTGTCACTTTGCAGCTTGTGTATCCTATTGAATGTATCTCAGTGTGAAAAAGTCTACCTTTAAAATTGGGCACCTATACAGCTACCTACTGGTGTAAGGGCTACACATATGTTTTTCAGAATTTCAAATATATGCATTGCTTCAGCATGAATTATGAAGTGAAATTCCATTTACTGTTTCTTATTTTTCCCTTGGCACCCCCAATTCTTAAAGACATGTGTCACCATGTAAAAGGCAGGAGATTTTCTGGATGGGAAAGACACCTGTTCCTCCGTAGGTGCTAAGAGCAGTAGTCATTGGTGGGGAGGGAAGGGAACGTGCTCAGGGGGCTCTGTGGACTCAGTTTTCCAGGGCTAAGAAAAATTAATTGACTAGAATACTTTTGAGATATTACTCCTCCTTTTGGGAGCTGTAGGAAAATTCAATAAATGGAATTTCATTGCTATGGATGAAGAAGTCAGACAAATTTCTACATTTCCAGTTGCTAATTGTTTTCAATTTCAAATAGCAACATTTCTAATCTATCAATACTCGTTGATCACCAATTATTTGCAAGAGTCTGTACCCCAATTTTTGATATCTATAATTAAATCCCGTATAATAAGTTTCTATTTTGAAAGTTGAATGTATAATTTAAGGCTATAAGTTCAGTTCAGAATCATCAGGTTTTAAAATTTCATATAAAAACAAAAATGAAAAGAAAGAAAATTCTTAATTTCTTTAACATGATTTCTGAGATCATCATATTTAAAGCATCAACATAATGGCTCAAAGTATATCCCCCAACTATAATCTCAACCAGTACAAGTGAATTTTAAGCCTACCACAGGATATTCGCTCCATTGAGAAAGTTCATTCTGTCTCAACCATGGTGCAAATCACCAGCCTCTCCACCCTAAATAGCTCCCCGTAGCTCAAAAGGCACAGAACAATAGCTGAAATTGTAATGGAACTGACCTATGCACACATTCTCATCGTCCAGTTGTGCAGAAGCATTTCTGAAGTAGCCCAGCCTGCATAACTCACAGTGCTGCCCTCTAGTGTTGTGTTTACAGCTCACGCAAATGACTGTATTTAGCAGATCGATATAACTGCATCGATTGGAGTGGCCGAAGCATTCACAATCTTGCAAGGAAGAACAGAAATGTATACAAAGTGTATACAATAGCAGAGTAATAGCATACTACATGCTTAGATAAAATGAGGGATGGAGAAAAGACAGTGGAATGGCATTACATACATGTGGTTCAACATGACACATGGTGACAACAGGTGGTTGTGACTAGCATGGAAATAGCATCTGTTTCAAGCAGGATAGAAAGGTCAAACATTCGAAACAGGACTGAAGGTTGTTAATTCTTGGCAGACAAGATGAACAGAAGCATTTGCAGGTGTGCACCTTTTAAAATTTGGGAAGCCTCAGTTTCCAGTGATGCAAAAGTCTATTTTTTGCAGACAGAGAATTTTACTGTCTTTGCACCATTTCCCTCATTTTCTCTTCATCTTTTTAGCCTTAAAAAAGTGGGAGGGGTGTGTGTGAGCACTGAGGGTCTGAGTCCGATCACCATGGCTCCTTCTGCTCTCTGACATCATGCCAAGACAGCAACTCAATCGGGGTTTCATACACATCACGGCAAATTTAACAGAGATCTAGACAACGAAACAATTCCTTGTTTTTGTTTTCCTCCAATGCTAAGAGGAGAAGATGACTTTTTAAAGCCTTTCTTCAGACCGAATCTGTATGTGTATGTGTGAGAGAAGACATAAAAGCAGGGAGATCATTTGTGTAAAAACGTGCTCTTAAGATTTCCTCCTTTTCTTATAAGTTTCAAGAACAGTTTGCTACAAAAGAAGCATTAGGCAGCTACTGTAACCCCACATTTCTTTTCCTTCGTCTCTCTAAAATGTTAGAGCTGCCCCTGAGGCTTAGCAGTGACGGTGGTAACGACTAGACAGGGAGATGAAGAAGGAGATGAGAGTAGTTGGGGAAGGTTGGAGGGTGACTAGATTTCTTCTTGCATCTCAACTAGAGCAAGAAGTTGTAAATCCAATTCAACCTTTGTAAAAGAAATGGTAACGACAAAGTCTCTGTTGATAGAATAATTACTACAAAAGTGTGAGTGGTAACTAGGTGGGGTATCTATTTTGTCTTCTTGGAATATGAGGGTCAATCTAGCTGGACATTTATAAGAAAGGTCAACCAGGATATTGCTCATTTTGTTTGTTTAAAAATATTTCTTGCATCAATATCTTGCTTTTATTTTATCCCACTAGGAAGCCAAGCACAGTCACTATTTGAACTCATTCATTCATTCTTCATTCATTCATTCATTCATTCAATAAATATTTTCACTGAGTTTGTCTATCTATGTGTCAGGAACTTGGCTAGGTGTTGAGTTACTATTTTGGCCTATACAAAATTTTGCAAATATTATATTTTGATGATCAGAATAAAAATGAGTAAGTGTTGTCAAGTAAATAATAGTAAGAGATAGCTAACTTTTAAAACTTAAAAAAAATTCATATGCTACCACTCATCAGAAAGCTAGCTCCTACAAAAGAAAGCTGAGATCAAGGTCCTGATGGAATGAAATCAAATTGGATCGAAGCAGAGGAGGACACTGGGAATGGCGAAGCGTAGAAGATAAAACCAGAAACAGTATCAGCAACTTTGGGACACCTGTTGCTAAAAGAGAGGCAGGAAAAAAAGGAGGATCCTGAAGCCAAGTCACTCCCTTTATTTGAGGTCAGCTGTATCACCATGTGCACGAACACAGGGAGTGAAGGGTGAGTGTGAGGACAGGAAGAAGTCAGAGGGGAGGTGAGTCTGAGGGTAGGGGGAGTCCTGGGAGAAGGTGGCCTTGAGACTCCAAGGTAGGAGACATTAAGAAAATGCTCAAATAAATTTAGTAGTAGAGGCATGCCAAGTTAACAGTAATACTCCAATAATCACAGAGTTACAGATTAACAAATTAAAATCTCTTAGAAAACAACAATCATCTCCCACCAATCCACTGTACCTCTCTGAGTTACGCCTTGTTTATTACGGCATTACTGACTGCCAAGGAAATCAGAAAGCCTTCTAGAGACTTCTGTTTGAGAGTTTGAAATAAAGACAATCTTTCAGGACTAGAGCCTTTTGAGAGCAGTGGTTGAAGGAAGGAAACCCAATTATCAAACCTAATTGCCTCCCAAGGACTTTTTGAGAACTGCCTGGAATTCCTGAGGAGGGGGAACAATAGCCCTGCCCCTGGGTCCCTTCCTCTCAAAGAGGTCTCTTATTGGCTGTCCTTTTTCAGGTTCTCCAATGCTGGTTGGTTCCTGGTGCATCTAATTTAATTAACAGAGCTTTGTTCAAAAGTATCTTTTTATGTGCAAAAAATCATTCTAGGACCTTTCTACAGCTACATAGAAGCTTGTTGCCTGGAAGCTTGCTTAGTAAATAAGACAACATATGCTCAGATAACCAGAAAGAAAATAGCGTGTGCTAAGAAAAAATAGGGACGCAAAGCAATCTAAGTAGAAGGAAAACTTCATTTAACATGAGGGGAATTAGAAAAAGCGTACTACAGGACTTGCACTCTGAATCTTCCTTAGGGCAGGTAGAGTTTATTAAAATAAGAAGGAATGAGCATTTTAGGTGAAAGGAATAGAGTGAAGAGTGGGCAAAGGTATGAAGTTGGGGAAATGTAGAGAATAAGGCTAGTGACTTTTCATAGCATAGTTCCTTTGTGGGTCCTAAAGGATCCAGTAGATTCTGCCCCATGGCCAGAACTACATGCTTAACTCCATCTGACAAAGTTTTATCTGAAGGACAAGCCAAATCTGTAAGATACCCAAGTTCAACACTTTAAGGCCCATTCCACGAATCTCCATAGAAATGTTAAATATGATATTATCACTACTATTATCTGAATTTAATGAATAGTACACATTTCTGTGGTGACATTAACTATTTATGGGTCTTGTTTAAAAATTAATGTATTAATTTGATAGGAAAAGTTAAATATTATATAAGAAACCATACTCAGCTAAACACACAATAGTATAAATTTATTTCAAATGATAACTGGACAATTTAAATGTTTTACAAGCATTAAAAGGTTTTATAATCTAGAAAACAGGCTAATGATAACTTGATTCTTTTAAGACTTCTAGTACTCTTCTGAGACTTAGATAAAGCCATCTTCTCTGGCTATAATATATTTGAGAATATAAAATAAGAAACAGATCTTTGAAAGTGATTTGAAAAACATAAGAGTATTATATAAATACAAAGTATTTGAAATATGACTCTTAAACTGCTATATTATTTTTTGGTTTTCTGTTAATTTCCCACTTTTTAATATCTGGTCTTTCCACACAGGCACAGAACCTATTAAGTATAGCTTGAGCTATGTTATTTTACTAAGATTCTGAAGGGATGATAATAACAGTTTAATAATTCTTTGATTCTTCAAATCACTGACCTCCCACGTCCTCCCATTTCTTCTTATAAAGTGTAGTATCCATGGTCCAATCCTTATAATCACTTCCTCTATATACTCCCTTGCCCTTCTACCCCCCCAATTATAGAGAAATCTTGATCCTGGTTCAATCTTGATGCTGGTTAAATTCAACTCTCCAGGAAATCCTAGCCAGAGCTATCAGGCAAGAGAAAGAAATAAGAGGCATTCAAATTGGAAAAGAGGAAATACCTATGTATGCAGCTAACTGAGGAGGTGAAAGATCTTTACGAGGAGAATTACAAAACACTGATGGGATAAATTGTAGACAACACAAATAAATGAAAAAATATCCCATGCTAATGGGTCGAAAGAATTAATGTTGTTAAAAATCACCCATTACCCGAAGCAAATTACAGAGTCAATGGAATTCCTATCAAATTACCAATGTCATTCTTCACAGAATCTGAAAAACCAACCCTAAAGTTCATATGGACACCCCCCCCCCAAAAAAAAGCCCAAATAGCCAAAGCATTTCCAAGCAAAAGAAACAAATCCAGAGGTATCACATTGCCTGACTTCAAATTATACTACAAGTCTATAGTAGCTAAAACAGCATGGTATGGGTACAAAAATAGACAAATAGATTAATGGAACAGAATAGAGAACCCAATGATAAAGCCACATACCTACAACCACCTGACCTATAAAGTGGACAAAACTAAACAATGGGGAGAATAAACACTCTATTCAATTAACAGTGCTGAGAGAACTGGCTAGCAATATACAGAAGAAAGAAACGGAACCCATATCTCACCCTACACAAATATTAGCTCAAGATGGATTAAGGACCTAAATATAAGACCTGAAACCATAAAATCCTGGAAGAAAACATGGGAAAAACTCCTGCGCATCAGCCTAGGCAAAGAATTTATAACAAAGACTCAAAACGCAAATACAACATAAACAAAAATAAAATTAAAAAATGGAACTTAAACTAAAAAGCTTCTGCACAGCAAAATAAATAACAGAACAAACAGACAACTTACAGAATGGGAGAAATATTTAGAAATTATGCCTCTAAAGACTAATATTTAAAATCTATAAGGAACAAACAACTCAACAGGAATAAAACAAACAACAACATTAAAAAATGGGCAAAGGACATGAACAGACATTTATCAAAACATACAAGTAGCCAACAAACACATGGAAAAATGCTCAATATCACTAATCATCAGAGAAATATAAATTAAAATCACACTGAGGTGCCATCTTACACTAGTCAAAATTACTGTAATAAAAAGTCAAAAAGCAACAGATATTGGCATGGATGTAGAGAAAAGGGAATACTCATATGCTGTTGGCGGGAATGTAACTAAGATCAAACTCCATGGAAAACGGTATGGAGATATCGCAAAAAACTAAAAATAGAATTGCCACGTGACCCAGCAATTCTACTACAGGGTATCTACCCAAAGGAACATACATCATAAAAAAGACAACTACCGTCGTATGTTTATTGCAGTACTATTTACCATAGCAAAGTCATGAACCTACACTAAGTGTCCACAAATGGTTGATTGATTAAAGAAAATGTGTATATACCCCATGGAATACTATGTAGACATAAGAAAGAATTAAATGATGTCATTTGCAGCACCATGGATGGAGCTGCATGCTATTATTCTAAGTGAACTAACAGAGAAGCAGAAAATCAAATATTGCATGTTCTTATATATAAGTGGGGGTTAAAGGGTACACATAGACATAGAGATGGAGAACTAGACTCTGAGCACTCCAAAATGTGGGACATTTAAGAGCTGAAAATTACTACTGGGTCCAATGTCTAGTATTTGGGTGATGAGTCTACTAGAAGCCCAATCCCCCACCATTATGCATGTAATACCCATGTAACACACAAGCAGTGTAACCCCTGTGTTGAAATTTTTTTAAAACAATTTAACTTTTCATCTTTTCATGCTCATATTGCCATAGGTAAATGTGGTTAGTTTTTCTCCAACTGTTTAGAAACAAGTCTCATTTGAAATTCATGACCATAAGCCTCAGTGGGGTCCTTAGAGCTGCCTGGTAAACCTTCCTGAAGCAGTGGGCTTCTGGGCCACCACGCTCTCTTAGTTCTCCTCTTTCCCTACCCATCACTGCTTTTTTCTCTATTTTCCTTTTTGTCCTCATCTCCTCAAATGTTTCAAGCTTTAATCATTGGACCTCTTTGTTCCTTACATTCACACTAGATGTTTTTTACCCAACTCTATGGTCTATATGTGGGGCATTCCAAAATAGTTATTTCCAGGGTGGACTAACTCCCCTGTTAATTAGTGAGACTCCCTTCAGAGTCATCCATTGTATGCCACTGTCTTCCTAGAATTTCCACTTGGACGTTTTATAAACATCTCAACTTTAACTTGTTCAAAGCTGAGCTCTTGGGTTGCCTTCCTAAACTTGCTACTCATCCAGGCTCCTCTTTCTCAGTAAATGACCACTCCATTCCTCCAACTGCTTAGATTACACCTCTCACCATCTCTACCACCTCTTCCTTAGACATATCATCAACCCATACTTGGATTATTGCCATTGTGCCCAAACTGCTTTTCTGGCCTCAACCCTTGTGATGTCATCTCCACATAGCAGACAGAGTGACTCTTTCAAAACTTAAGTGAGGTCATGGCGTCCCTCTGCTCATTATCCTAATGGCTTTACATACTATTCAGAACAAAAGAGATGTTCATTCATTCTTTAGTGACCTGGCCCCTGGCCTTCCTTGAAGGGCTCATTGCTAGTACACTCCTCATAATTCAGGGCACAGTGCCTCCATGTTGTTCTTCAAACATGCCAACCACTTCCCAGGCCCTATGACTTGCTGGTCTGGAATACCCTCAGACATCTCCATTACTTGCTTCCCCACTTCTTTTTCAAATATCTTCTCAAAGAAGGTTATCTGACCATTTAATCTGAAATAATAGCCTCCACCCACATACCCTAATCCCTCAATTTTCTAATCTTGTTTATATTTTTTCATAGAATTTATAATATTCAAAAAGTATATGCAAAAATAATTTCTTCCCCTCTAGTTGAGTGTAAATATCCAAGGGCAGACTGTGTCTGTTATGTGCTCAATTGTAACTACAGAACTTAAAATATTGCCTGGCATATACTAAGCACTGAGAAAAATATTGTCAAATGAATGAATGAATGAATGAATGATGATCCTAAGGCCCCTTCCTTTGGGGAACAGAGGAAGACACAGAGAAAAGCTATGTTTAAATTCATTCCTTCATCATTCGAATTCCCGAAGAGAATCTGACTATATCCTATATATTAAAAAGTTTAGAAAAACAGTAGCCACAGAACAAGCTGTAACTGAGTTAGTGATTATTTTAGCTGAGAGTTCACTATATGTCTATGAACAGATCAGTTTAGGCAGAGAAAAAGCAGGTTTCGGAAAATTGCTGTGGTTTTATATGGTTTTTAATCTCAAACTGCATTTCAGACAAGTTTCATTATTGTAGTATAAGCAAGGCTAAAAGGGGCCTTTAGCTTTATGTCTACACAATGTGGCACAACAAACATTGGCAATACGTATTTATTGAGAACTACTCTGTACCACGTACAGCCATCATGTACCAGGAGACAAAGGGAATGAAGTCCAGGCCTCCAGAGCCTAGTGCGGGCTTTTTCAACCTTGGCACTATAGCCATTAGGGCCAAACAACTCTTTGTTGTATGGGACTGTCCTGTGTATTGCAGGCTTTTCAAATGCATCCATGGGCCCTTTACAGACTAGATGACTAGATGTGGTAGCAACCCCCAAACTGTGACAACCAGAAATGTCTCCAGACATTGCCAAATGTCCTCTGGAGGGCAAAATCCACCTACATCCCCACTGAATACTATTGTTCTGGGGGGAAGATAGAAAAAATACTATATACGTGTAATATATGAGATATATTGCAACATAGAAGGCAGTTGTGATAATCAAGTACTTAGTATCTAGCCAGTTAAGAGGAATAAAGGCTAGAGGGTTTTACAAGGGGAAGGGTTCAAAGTTGACTTTCCAGATAAGGAAAGGATCAAGTCTCCTCTAAGGTTTAAAAGTTTCCTTCTGACTGACACTGGCTGGGGAAGACCTGGGCAGATAAAGAGTTCCAGGAAATCAAGAGGTTGGATACAGAGAATGAAAGAAAAGAATGTTACTAAGAGGAGGGGATTCAATACCTCTTTTGCATCTTCTTTCTTTTTCCCCATGTTGCCTATATTATATTAGTAAATTACCTCTGTAAATACACTGAATGTGGCACATTTAGAACAGGTAGATTTTTTTATTTTTGGCCAAATAAGGAAAGCTAATTCAAATCCAGAGCTGATTAAAATTCACTTTAGACATTCAAAAAGGAAGAATTTGAGAAAAAGACTTTAAAGGTGAAGGAATGGGAACTCTAAAAAGAATCTTCCCTTCATTGCATTAAATGCAATGATTCTGGAAATTAAGAGGCTCTAGCTTTTTCTTTGTCTTTTCCCCAACCACAACCCTGTCTTGCAACCTTACGTAGCTGTGGAAGCTCTTCCACACATATCATTTGATGATGATGTGAATTTGTCTATAGTAAGTCTACTTCGTTGGGTAGCTTTCCCCTGTCTCCAGGGTTGTGTCTAGACCTCACTGGTGCTGTGTCCTCCAGAAGCTAGAGATACAGGGTCAAATTCCAGGTTCAGAGGCCTCTTGTGTGTCTAGCACACTTGACATGACAGAAAGGAGATGAACTTTGTACGTGCTTTTTCCTTCCTTTCCCCTTTACCTCCTTTGTTTCCTTCCATATGGCATCCCTATGGTGGCTTCAGTGAGTGCCTGCGTGTCACAGCACGTGCCTAGATTGGTTTGTTACCCTCTGAGCCCGCATCTGCTTTTCTCAAACAAGACTTATTTCCCCAAATTTCAAACCCAATTGGGTTCCCCTAAACCCAAATTGGCATCTTCTACATTCCACGGTTAAAAGCACATTTGAGAAAAATTTGAGACATGGTTTAAATACTCTTGGTTTCTCTTTTCCCATTTTCTGACCAGCTTCCACTTTTTCTCTGTATGTCATGGAAGGACAAATTCAGCATTGATTAAAATCTGGAAAATGACTAAATTCAATAAGGAATAGGAAATCATTATGGTCATTTTCACCAAATGGGTCAAACTAAGTTCAGATTTTATTAATAAATATATTTCTTTGTAAGAGGTGTTTTATGAAAAAGCAAAAATACAAAACCAGAAAGTGACATATGCCCAACAGTCAAGGGTGGAAAACAAGACACACCTGTTACACAAGACATTTAAAGAAAAAAAAAAATGGAGAAATAAAAACATAAATCTTTATGTTTCCTGAAAAATCTTCATTCTGTGAAAGACAGATGCTAGCTGGAATGGGCCATTCATGAGTCACAGATGAGCACTGCTCACTTTCATTTAAAGAAAGTAATATAACTATTATTTTTGGATCATAAACAACACTTAATCCATTGCAGATTTCACTTGTGTTTTTCGGGTTATTCAAAACAATTTTTTGGAAGCATAAATTCCAAGGTGTTTTATCTGTCACAAAGTGAAATGGACACCATACATGGAACCTGCCATTCTGGTCTCATGAAAAGTACCCTTGAAACTCACTGTAAGTGGGTTTCCTTGTTTTCAATGCAAATGAGTATCCATGTTAGTGCTCTCACATTCATGGTCTAAACAGGTACCTCAATCATTTTTATTCTTATTCACACATTAATCTTTCAGAAAACAAATGTTGTAGCACTTTTAATTGTAGTCAAGTTTCTGAGTGAAGCATTTTTTTTCTTACAGATGATTCTCGGTACTATTCGATGCATTGATTGTTATCAGTCAACATGCCTCACCAATAAGCTGATGGGTACACTTCACAGATATTCCAGATTCATACAGTGCAAAGTTTCACAACACATAACACCATGAAATCACTGTATGAATCCAAGAATTCCTACCTCTCTTGTGGTTTGCAACTTGAACAGAAGAAACTGTTGACAAAGCTAATTTGGGAGCAACTGGATAGGTTTAAAAGAATGAACAATAAATTAGAAACAATAGTGAAACGTTCAAACTGTAATAACTTATCACCAACCCACTTGAAAAGTAGCCCTAAATTAAGAGATTATTTGTATCTGTTGTTTCTGGGAATTTGTTTCAATCACAGAGTAAGGCTTGCATTTGGCTGAAAATGGTTCAACATTGTCGGTAATACAATTTTGAAGTTTTCTTTTCAGAGGCAAAAATTATTACCATTTAAATCGAGAATCCAGTGAAGCAAGGATCATTCCCATAACAATATGGATAGTAGGATCCCCTACTGTCAATTTAAAAAAATAGTAGTTGTGTTGTCAGTTGACATTATCATTGCCTCGGTTCACCATGACATTCTATGTCATCCTAAAGTAGTCTACATATATACCATTAGGCTATTCTTGTTGAACCCATTAGATACCCTAGAACATAGTCAGTCCCAATAGTCAGCCATTCAGCAGCGTTTGGGCCTAGGTCTCAGAGTCACCTTGGACATGTGTACCTTTGTCTTTAAAAGTTGTAGTCTTCTCAGCATTTATCACCTTTTTGATGATATCAGCTTGTTAATGGCAGGGTTTTCTCTCTATTTTTGCTTGCCATTTCTTTTTCAATTATTCATAAAGAGTTGTTTGTGAAAATAGCCAAAACAGAATAGAGCCTGATATTCTCTGCAGATGCAGACAAGAAAAATTATGGCTGCAGAGAACTGGCCTCTGCTACAAAGTGCACCTTTTGCTAAAATTTCAAAATTTAAGCGCTTTGTTCAACTGTGCTGCTTCTCAATAGATTCATTTGAACTCATTATCCACATTCTAAGAAAGTACAATTGGTATGACATTAAGATATTTCTGAAAGTGTTTTGTCCTGTGACACTCAAAGAAAACACAGCAAAATAATTAAATGGGCCTACTTCAGGTTTTGAACAATGCATAATCTTGTTCAGCTCAAAACTCACTGTGGAGAAGTGTTGTCTTAGAGCCTGTGTTGTATAAACTGTGGACTATGAAATTCAATAGGAAATGCTGAGTGACATTTCACTGAAGATGCTGTTATTGAACTTGCCAAGGAATAAAGCCACTAAACCTCTTCTGATTCCTCACAGAATTAAACTAATAGGGGTGAGCTTGATCTGTATTTCTTCTTTCATATATATGTGCAGAAACTTGAAAAAATTCATTTGGAGCAGATGATTAAGATAATTCTATTTGCTGGTAATATATGTATCTAGGACAGTCTAGATTTCATCACGCTGATCAAGGACTGAAAATGCAGCCCTTCCAATTTGACTCCTCAACAAATTGCTAATATATTTTGTTTTGCTTAGCAGCTATTTCCTGGTTCCTCCTTTTGCTCATTTCCTCTTCCATCTGTATTCATTAGAGTTTAAAAGGAACATCCTGTATATAACTAAGGAAGATGGAAGCTAAAGTTGTGCCTTTTTTTTTTTTTTGTAGAAGGAAGAAGGCAAAAGAATACAATCTTATATTAAAAGAAATTCCAATTTATACATGATTATATATATCATAGGGCAGATGTTAATATGAATTTAACATTACACTGTGGCTTATGAAGTTTATTGCCCAGCTTTTAAAAGTTCTCTTTCTTCCTGCACAGTCACATTTCTATCAGTCTTGTTTTCTTGTTTTTTTTTTTTTTTTTTTTTTTTTTTTTTTGACATTAGGAGTCAGAAAATAATTACTGCTTTAAGGACAGAGAGCAGATTGCTCTAATGCTGGAACACATGAATGTTAATTGATAAAGAAGATAAAAGGAAAAGTTCCAACAAGGAAAATTTACTGTGATACGAAAGAGAGAGAGATACACACACATACGCAAACAGAGAGAGAGGGAGAGAGAGAGACAGGAGGGAGGAAGTAGGGAGGGGGAGAGAGACAGGGAACAAGAAAGAGTATGTGAGAGAGGGTCAAGGGAGGGTAGAAGAGAGGAGGAGGGAGGGAAAGAGACAGGGAGCTTGCTCCAGATTTTGGCCACTCAATGTGGAGCAATAGTCAGAGAAAACATCTTTCAGGTGTCACAATACTACCTCTATGTATTTTTCCAGATCCTCAGTACAACTGAGGTGCTAGTTGGTTGACTTAAAAGTAAGAGGAAGACATTGAAAGGATGCCTGTGCCACTCACCCGTTATTTAGTCTTGTCTGTACTCCACACTGTGGTGGCAACAGAAGTCTAGATTTCTCTTGGGACTGACTGACCTTCAGTGTAATCTAGCAAAGATTAAAGCTAAAAAGCTTCCATGCCATCTAATTTTCCCCCTCATCTTTCACTCTAATATTTTTGGGACACTCTTCATATTAGAAAAAAGATTGAATTATGATTCTTTCAAAGACATGGCATTCATGATAATGCTCTTATTTTGTGCTAAAAATGGCATATAGGATTTTCCCCCAAACATGTGGGATTTTATATCAGTAGGAATTTTACATGCTCCTACCTTGTTTTGGGTTAGGAACCTCAAGGGAAGAAATATTCGGCCATATCCTATTAAACTTTGGAGGAGCTGCATGCATCAGGAAAAATCAGGGTATGTTATTTTCATCTATAATGTCATTTGGTTTAAACAGAAAATGATATGGACAAAGACACAAATCACACATCTGCTCTTTAACTTGGCTGTGATGCGCTTAAACAAAACATGACTCCCACATCAAACAAGAGCAAGCAATTCATGATTCCCAAAACATTGAATGGACATTAAATATATAGCTACTTCCTCACTAAAGCTACGTGTTTTCTTTTAAAATAAGGTAGAGTGTTCTTACACGCACACAAAAATACAAATAAGGACTTCAGCAATCCAAACCATTATGTAAAGCTGGTGCCTGAAACTAGAAGATAACACTAAAGAAATAATCTCTCACTTGAGGATTCCACTCGCCTTAATTTATATTTACAGATATGAACTGGTTGCATTAGTTTTTCATGGTCGATTCTTTGGAGTATGTTTTAAGTGTGAGCCATTATCTCGGAAAAGGAGTGGGTATATTTCCTGTTTTTGTATGTGTAATTTCTCAGAAAAGGAAAGAGGGATAACTGGTGGTTTTGGTTTATGGAGAAAAGTCCAAGATGCTTCCAATTGTATCTAAGGTTTGTATGTATGAGTATGTATATGTTTTCATGATGTCTTTACCTCAAAATATGTTTCTAGAGTTATTGGTTCCAATGCAGAAATAACTGAAAGCATTAATTAATTTAAGAATTTGTATTATTTATGTCTTGGTATTACTTGTGTCTTTCAGTTATGGTAGGCAGAACAGCCAGGCTAGGATTTAGTTTTTAAACTGTTTTTGTGAAGGTGCCTAGGGCATGACTATTAAAGCAGCGATTTTTTCTTAAATTTTATTTATTTATTTATTTATTTATTGTTATTTTTTTTAGAAAAGAGACAGGCTTTCACCATGTTGGCCAGGCTGGTCTTGAACTTCTGACCTCGTGATCCACTGGCCTCAGCCTCCCAAAATGTTGGGATTACAGGTGTGCACCACCGCACCCGGCTAAAGCAGCTATTTTATGATTAAAATCTTATCATCTATTGAGTCCAGCCTCAAAACCACCTGTCTTATGTTGTTCTTTGGTACCACCCAAGTCCATAAGGACGGCTCTTGCCTCTAAACTCCTGTAACCTGTTACTTTCCATGCTCCCGCCTTCTCACTGATATGTGGACAGGCATGAGTTTTAATATTGCTAGTTAAAATTTTATAGGTCGATTTCTCATCTCTCTAATTGGATTGGATCTCTTTGAAGAAGGGCAAAGCCTTGCAGAGTGCTTCAGTAAATATCTGATAATTGAGAAATAAATATCAAGTGGTTAGGCTACTGTAAACAGGTATTATCATACTGCCTCCTCCATAATAGATTCTCACGGGTTCTTCCAAGACAAGAGACCTGAACTTTAACTTTGCTTTTTAAAGCAAAGTTAAAAAGCTGATCTGATAGAGCCAACAGAGCTATTGCTCTGTTTTACGCTGTTCTCATACATATATCCACAAAGGCAAAGGAAATCTTGATGATGAACATTTATGAATAAAGAAAGAATGTAATAATTTTATGCATCTGTACTCAGGTGTTACTAAATAAATAAATATTTTGTAATAGGTGGGCAAAATATGCAAGTTACTGACTGAATGTTGCTTTTCATCTGAGCACTTTGATGATGGGTAGATATTGAATTAATAGGACAAGCCTACTTGATCTGTGATGATCAGCTTTGAAAAACTATTAAATTTGTGTTTTGAGGAAATTAATATTGTCTGTATTCCCAGAAACTGTTTATTTAATAAAGCTTTCAAAGTATTGGTGCTGTTTTACATAAATGCATTTATATTATTGCATCAGATTAAGACAATCTTAGTTTGGTGAACTAGCTCTCTCCATCTTTTTCTGTACAGAGACAAATACAGGGAATAAGTGAGGGTGAAGTTTGCAAGCCTAATGTTAAGTATTTAGTGACTTGTTTGTCATAATGAAATGCAAGTACTACTATAATTTATTATTTTGTTATTGAGCTTTGCCAAGAAATTTAAGTAAAGATTAATAGTAAATTTAATAATTTTATATTAAATCAATTTTAGAAATGAGTTCTGAAAAATAACACTATAAACTTTATTTCATATTCTAATATTTTAAATATTTGTCTGTGCCTGTATTTTAGTGTAACTCCTTTCTTAGTGTTTTATGATTTATTTTCCTCCGGAAGGCCAAGTTTCCAGATTATGGATCTTCTTATATGTATTTAAAAAATTAACATAGCTCGCCGGGCGCGGTGGCTCACGCCTGTAATCCCAGCACTTTGGGAGGCTGAGGCGGGTGGATCACGAGGTCAAGAGATCGAGACCATCCTGGTCAACATGGTGAAACCCCGTCTCTACTAAAACCACAAAAAATTAGCTGGGCATGGTGGCGCGTGCCTGTAATCCCAGCTACTCAGGAGGCTGAGGCAGGAGAATTGCCTGAACCCAGGAGGTGGAGGTTGCGGTGAGCCGAGATTGCGCCATTGAACTCCAGCCTGGGTAACAAGAGCGAAACTCCGTCTCAAAAAAAAAAAAAAAAAAAAAAAAAAAAAAAAAAAAAAAAAAAAAAAAAAAAAAAAAAAAAAAAATTAACATAGCTCATTCTACTCTCAATTTGCTGAGACTTCCTGACCTGTATGGAATTATCAAGATAGACACCTCACTTACAATCTGTTGCTACTGAGAATATAATTTTCTTCTGTACTGTGTACCTAAAATAAGCCTTTCCTTTGTGTTTGCCTGAGAATATAATTAGAATTTTTTTTCAAATAATTTTCATTATGTAGAATGCCCAACCTCCCTGAATTACTAAAACGCAGAACCATCTGCAGGCATCATATGAAAATCCTGATCAAATCGATATATATCTCCAGTGGGACAAAATTTTATGTGTTCTGCATTTTCCTTGGAAGGAAAAATGTTATCCTATAAAAATCAATATTGAAATCTGTGGCCTCTAAACTCCTATAGTGTTTTACTGACTGCACATATACATTTTAATATTTGGCCTTCATGAGATTTTTTTTGAGTTAATATTTCATCTTAATTTTTTAAATATATTTTGTTTTATAATCACAACAACAACTTAAAATTAGCCGATTATTCTCTGAGTAATTTTACTTTTTATTCTAAGATTTTGGCCTGTACTAAATGCTCAACAAATATTACTAACATTTAATTCCCAGAATTAAATCAGGCATATTAGAGGCTACTTTAATAGTATGATTGAGACTAATTCTATCTTATCACATCCAATTCCAATAAAAGTTTTTGAATAACATGGAGCTTCTGAGAATTCTTAGTGAAAAAAATTCTTAGCAATAGAAAAAAATTATAATACATCAACAATATTTGTACTGCTTCTTCATATGAACTGTTGTAGAATGTATTAATTTTTTTCACAAATCAACTAAGGAAAATCTTTGGGTCAATATGAGTGTCTCAGAGTGGTAGTTTGTTATAAGGCAAAGGGCACTGGGATTCAGAAGATGCAAGGTCTGATCCGCGTTCCGCCACTGAGGAGCTACCTGGCTGTTAATTTCTCTGGATTTTACTTCCCTTATCTGTAAAACAAGAATGCTGGATAAGAGATTTCTTAGGTTTCTCTCAGCTGACATGTTCCATCACTCCAGTGGTTTTTCTCATGGCCTGGCAGCATCATATTAAAGTTCATGGAAGGATGATGCCTGTTGATATGAGGCATATGCCCTTTGGAGATTCTAGTGGATTAAGAATTCTTTGTGTGATGAGAAAATTATCCCTACATACCTTGACTATGGACTTTTTGACTGTTAGTGAAACCCAAACTGAATTGAGAAATTATTATAAGGGTGAGGGGAAGGATCACTACATGCTTATAAATGACAAATCATTGAAGAATAGCTTTTTATGGAAATCACTTCTTCTTAAGGATGCTGGTTCCATACCTTTGGGAAAATTGACAGAATTTGTCTTGAGGATATCTCAGATCAAGGCTCCAAAGACTATGTCTACATATTTAGTATGGAGACCAAAATCATTTATTCCATAACTGCCTCCTTTAAAAATAAAACAACTGAAATGTCTTTCAGTTGCTATTATTAGTCTGAATTTTCAGATTGTATCTGTGGGAAAGCCTAGAAAATAATCTATTTAGGGTAAATTTATTTAAGATATGGTGCTGTCAGTAAAGCTCAGTCTGGATTAGAAGCCCAGTTCTACCACTTGGACAAGTTCCTTAACTTCATTGTGCCTAGCTTTTCTCATCTGCAAAACAGAATAATGACACTATCTGTTACTTGCTGTTGTCAAGACAGAAGGAGTTAATATTTGCTTGGCATCATAGTGGGCATTCAATAAATGTTAGTTCATTCTATTTGTGGTTGCTATTGTGAATACAAATCAGATTACTGTACTATAAACAATTGTTACTGACTAGGAGTAGGAAAAATAATGTCTTCCCCTATTTTTTTCAATGTTAATTGTGCTTAAAGCAAGTTATTCTGATAAGTTGAAAGGATCCCTTAAGATACAGCTTACTTTAGAGAATAATCCAATTATAGGGCCATTATCAAATACTATTATTCAGAAAGCAATACAAATTATTTTGTAACACTGTGTAAAAATATTTGATTTTTAACCTTTAAAAATAAGAAAATGGTAATTTCTACATTTCTTTTGGTTTAGAAGTACGTCAGCTTAGAATATGAATGAAATAGGTAGTTTCTCCAATTTTTTTTAAGAACTTACCCCCAAAACTGTTACATGACAATTTAGTTGTGGCACTTGAAATCGATTTTTATGAATGAGAAAAATTGAGATTTTGGTTATAAAAATGGGACTCTGGAAGGAAATATTTTCCTCTTCTGCACCCAAGGAAAGCTCTCTGCATTGTAAGTTGAAGAAAACTGTGATAGAATTGCTAAACCTGACTGTCTAGGGCTGATGTAACACTGAGTCAAGCTACAAAGCAAGTTTGAAGCAGAAAACTAAAGACAGTTTATTGACATC